CTGCCCTCGACGCCCCTGAAAGGACCGCGGGGCCACGCCGGCCCACCGAGACTTTGGGTTGGGCTGAATTAGGGGCCGCCCGGCTCCAGGGAGCGCGGGGGGCGCACCGGGCTGCGCGCCGCAAAAACCCGCGAAGCCCCTCGCTCCCTGTCTCCGGGCGGCCCCGGGAGAGTCCTCGGCCGTCCCCGCAGCCTTCTGCTTTGAGGCCCCTCCTCACCTTGCTGCTCTCCTCTGGACTTGGGTTTGGGGTGCCCTTCCCAAAATGCGGTGCTCTGCCCTGGATGCAACGTTCTTTGCCCGGTGGAATAGCAGTGCTGCAAAGTTAAAGGAAAAAGTCACGGGCTGGGTCTTGAAAATGATTCTGCTTTTCCTCCCCTTTGCCATTTCCCCATGGGCCATTGTGGGTGCATCCCAGGTATACTCGTTGCAGGACCCCAGCCCAACCCTGACCTAAAGCATTTTATAGATTGCATGGCCCCGTTTGCCCAATTCTGCCCTGAAATCAGAGGTCTGGCCCTTCCGTTGGTAGTTATCACCAGACTATTGGCTCTACAGCTCCCCAACCTACAAACAGCATATTATTCACAAGGAGAAAACGATGTATGGAGTTCCCTCCCTCAAATTCCGCTAAATGCACGAACAGCAACAAACCGTTTTCTTCTGCTTTCCCTGTGGATCTCTACCATTAGTTCAGAAGCTTCGAGTTCCTCCAACACTGAGCATCGCCTTCCTGGCCCTCAACAACTCTTCTCTGCAAGTAGATGGCCCTAGTGGGGAGGAAGCAGGTTCCAGACACCTTTTGCTGAGCGGGAGGATCACTCATTGTATCTCCTGTGGTTGGCGTGGAATGCACATTTTAGAACATTGTGAATATTTTGCCAGCTAGAAGTGAGTCTGGAAAGGACACAAAAGAGAAAGGTTTGAGACTAGTCCAGTCTTTGTGCTGATACAAGGGAGAAGAGTGGAATGCAATGGTTCCCCATGTGTTCCTCTGAATTGCACATTGACAAAAAGACCCTTGATTCGCAATTAGCACTCTGTTGTAATGAAGCCGTACGTAGCGAGCCTAACGCTTGCCAGGGATTCTAGTTGCTTCCTCCTCTCTCTCACTCTGCAGCTGGGTGTCTTAAAACAGGCACCTGAAGGCATCTGCGTGGTTTCTGTAATGTTATCAGAGGCGGGAGTATCTCAGTCAGACCTTGACTAAGTCCTGGGCACAGAATGATGCCCTTTTCATCAGCAACTTTGGTTTCATCAGCAACCTCTTGGTTCGGTTATGGCTGATGCTAAGCACTGTGAATTTCAAGGCCACTTGAAGACTTAGCTGTTCAGCCTGGCCTTGGTTAACCCCAAATAGAGTGATGTCTCACAATTGGTCAGCTCGGGTCTGAATTATAACAGCATGCTGTATTAAGGACTATTTTTAGGCTGCAACTACTGTCACGGCTAGATAGATAACTGAAAGGGAAGAATGCAGAAGTCCCACCTATTCTGAATGCGCTTTCAGTAGCTTCCTGAATGTTCCCAAGCCAAGTTCAAGAGTGAGACACTTGATCTAGATGTTTAATGATCTTTATGTGACTATCATGCAAACCATGATCCAGTGAGACCATCCTCCTGAGCGTTCTGCATCTGCCAGTGGCTCATTGTGTGTTGATGAGGAAGAAACGTCTTCATCTGAGTTCCTGATTGTGTAATTCCCTCTTGGTTCGGTTATGGCTGATGCTAAGCACTGTGAATTTCAAGACCACTTGAAGACTTAGCTGTTCAGCCTGGCCTTGGTATAAAAATGCTGCTGTCCTCTGCAATCCATTTTAACCCAATGCCCCATCCTGTTAACGTTTTTGCTGCTTCTGGTTTTAACTACATGAGGTTTTAGCCACTGCTGGGACTATAGTTAGCAGGGAAGATCTTGAGATAGAAGGGGAAATCTCTCCTACTTCCAGACTAATGACGGCAGAGAGCAATGAAAAGAAAGACTGGAAACTGAGGACATTCTTTCTTCTGCATTTTCTCTTCTTAGATTCAGTGTTGAATCTAACCCAATAAGGGTCAGGGGGAGAAACCACAAAGTTTCCTGGTGGCTTAAAAAACCTTTTAAGCTGGCCTAACACTAACTTGGGTCTGACTAACTCACAACTGCTTACTCGCCATAGAGTAGAGCTTTTTAGGCATTGGTTTGCTTTGGCTGGAGATGCCGTCAAATCTTGAACCTGGAACCTACTGTTGCACAGTAAATACAGGTAGTCCTCGCTTATTGACCACTTGTTCAGCAACCATTCCAAGTTACAACGGCACTGAAAAAGGAGAGTTATGAATAGTCCTTGAACTTGCAGCCATCACAGTGCCCCCACAGTCAGGTGATCGGGATTCGGGCACTTGGAAACTGGCACACATTTACGATCATCGCAGCATCCCACAGTCACATGATCACCATTTGCAACCTTCACGGACAGCTTCCAACAAGCAAAGTCAGTGGAGAAGCCAACAGGTAGTTGCAAGTTGTAGTCACATGACATTGCACTTAACGACCTATGTGATTTGCTTAACGACCACAGCCGGAACTAACAAACTAACATCGTAAGTCGGGCATGGTCACATGAAATTTACTTTACAACCACCTCACTTAGCGATGGAGTTTCTGGTCCCAATTGATAAGCGAGGACCACCTGTACAACAGCCTCTCACATCTAAATGTGTTCCATCACTTTTGATCTTGTAGATCAAGATCTTGTAAGTAACCTCAGAATGCGTTCCTAGCTCTGACTGAGGAGAATCGAAAGGTGCGATGTGGCACAAGATCACTTCTCAACAGCTCTCTGGACAATGTCACTGGGCTGCCCGTGATCTTGAAAAAAATACAGGAAGGTTGCTATCTTGGCAGTCGAATTCACTGTCCCATGCCTGTCTTCTAGAGAGATGTGTATAGTGGAGTTCACACATCACTCTTTGATTTGGATTTGGCTTAACATATTGTGTGTGAACCCAGGCAATTCAACAAATCATGATTAAGCAAACCATAGCTTAAAGTATAAACCTAGCCTGTTTATATATAAGAATCATTTTGGTATTGTTGGTTTGTATAGAAGAACCCCCACATCAGTTGAAACTATAGCAAGCAAGATTTCCAACAAGAACCCCGCTTCACCTCACTGTCCGTGAATCCTGGGAGCAGTAGTATTTACACATCTAGAGGGTACCAGGTTTACCAAATTGGGAGAGACTGAACTAAAACAGACCTCAAGTCAGGAACTGCTGTACGTAATGCCCACTTTCCTACCTCGTGGCTTCCTCTCTTGGGACAGGCGGGGTGCTGCCCTGCCTTTCCTGCCTGTCCCATCAAATATGAAGCTGTTTGCATTTCCAGCCTGATGCTCCTCTTCTACCCCTCCAACATTTGTCTCTCTGACATCCTCTACATCTGTCTTCACAAGTGACAACGCACTACGAGAAAAGAGTCAGCTCTTGACTTCTCCTTTCCCAGGCAGCCACAATCTCATCTTCATTCAGAAAACCATGAGTCCTGGAAGACAGAGGCCTAGTGCTGCCGAGAAACATCCTGCCGCCACCGCTACTCATTCCCGGCAGTCCCCGCGGATCCTGGTGGTAGACATCCATCCCCCGCAATGGGACCACACCTGCCACAAACTCTGTGAAGCCCTGGAAAATGTCTTCTGCTTAGCCTGCAGCTTGACCGGCCCACCCCGCATCCCTTCATTCAGCCTCTATGTAGTCCAGAACCAGCAGGAATGCCTGCTGCCCTTTGTGGTGAGTGAGTGCTCCGTTACACACACAAACCTGTTTAAAGCAGAGCGAAATAGCTGAAGGTACCTGTCCTTCTTTCTCAATGCTGTTCTTGTTCTCGCTCCTGAATAAGGTTATAATCTTTTGAGGTCTGATTTCTTTTCCTTGGGAGCTTTTATGGTTTACATTTAAGGATCTCTCTGAGTTTAGTTTTCCTTTACTCGTGGTGGTTGGCAGACTGCAGGCTTAACAACTAAGATACTCAGGCCTCACAATTGGTGGCCACCTGCTGTTGTGGTGAAGCTCATATCCTGAGCCCACCTTGGCCATGTTTAGGTGTGACATCATTCTTTGCCAGCTCCAGTCTTCATTTATATGTTAAGCTTGGGCTTCCAGCTCTGTTTTATGAAATATGCCCACTAAGCTATATTCTGTCTAGCTAAAGGTCAGAAGTAGTTTAAATTGCGGGGAGACGGGGAAGGGAGGGGAACACAGGTTGGTAACAGAGATGCGGGTCTCCAGTACGCTACCTACTTTAGTGTAGCCACTCAATGTATTTGATGAAGCAAGCTGCAGGTCACAAAAGCTGATGCCTTTTAATAAAATGTGTTAGAAAGGGTGCTACCAGGCTTCCTGATTTTTGGCCACCATAGACTAACATGGGTCTCTGCCTAAACTGTCCAACTAAAGGTTATTTTTAATACTTTATGTCCTCTTTCATTCTTTAATAATCCATTCTGTAACTTTCACCTTTGGAGTCCTTGGTACTCTCTGAGCTTGGTTGTTTGCTTGCAGACGTTTCATTGCCCAACTAGGTCACATCATCCGTGCTGGTGTGTGTGGGGTTTGCTCCCTGTTTATGTACAGTAGCTTGCCCTTCCAGTGTTGGTGGGGGTGCGGTTTTCCCCTTAGTAGTTCCTTGATTAGGGTATTCTTTTCTGCCTTCAGTTTCTTTTGTTAATGTTCCAGTTATAAACCATTGCCAGGTTTTATCTTTATTTATTTATTTATTTATTTTTTAATTTATTTAATAGACTTGTCCCCACTCATCTCCCCACAACGGGGGACTCTGGGCGGCTTACAACAAACTAAAATCAGAAATACAACTAAAAGTTATCCACTTTATCCACTTTACCCTCAATTTTTGTAGAAATTGACCATGTAATGCTTTTGCTTGCCAGCATTTTATTCATGTTTTTATTACATTATTTCGATATTCACATTCTCACAATATTCACAATATTCACGTTTCATTATTTCAATATTCACATTATTATTATTATGGCTGGTCGCACAGTCAGCCACATGTTTAGACTGGATTTGGCATTTTTGTCCACCTATCTAGTCCTTCCCAAGGACCTGGGAGAGGCAGATATTGTTTGACAGTGTTAAAGGTATCGTCGCAGGATGTGAGCTGTTCCAAGTAAAGCTGCCTTTTGCAGTTGACTGATGGGGATTTGTCAGTGCTGATGGTCTTCAAGTGGTGCTCCAGATGTTTTGGGATTGCACCTAAGGCGCCTATAACTGTTGATGCTATCTTTGCTTTCTTTTGCCACAGTCATTCTACTTCTATTTGCAGGTCTTTATATTTTGTGATTTTTCTCCAGTTCTTTCTCTTCCCTTCTGCTTTC